ATTTTATTCAGCAAATACGTGGTCAGTGCTAGTTTTGTTACCGCCTCATTTCGGGCGCTTTTACAGAAAGTGCCCAAAAACAAAAAGAACCGTTACATTGAGAGAGTAAAAATTTCTTGCTCAGAGAGACAACATATGGTACTTATTATTAATGCAAACTGACTTTAAAAAAAATAAACATTTAATCATTTTTTTTAGGAAATAAACTTTCCACCTGCAGTCGTGCTATTTTTTTAGCCGCAGCTGTATCTCCGTTCGCATCTGCATTTTTGCACCCATCTTGCTCTGTTTTCAGCGCTGTGATACGGAAAAGACAATTTGCATAGCTCTTTCCCGGGGAAGCATTCTAAAAAATTGTCGCAGAGAAAGGGTTGCGAATGGTGGTGGCTGGCCTGCAAAGACAGTTGTTTCCAATCACAGATATGAACATTTTAAGTGGTCACGCAGATATACGAAAATCTGATCCGAAAATGGGAAGAAAACTGTGAAGTATATATTCGTTTGGGTGTTCTACAAACTCAAAACAACTATTTTGCGCAGTGTTTTTGATAGCATTATGTTAAGGCATGGGCGGGAATCTTTCTGAAGTTGGGTGTTCCCGTTCGTGGAGTGGGGTCACCTCCTATTTGCAAGCGACGCCTGGCCTTGTCACTGTAAACCGTCGTCTGTGCACTCCGAGAATGCGAACCCAGGACAAGATGAGGCAGCCCCTCGTCCTAGTACCCATCTACTAACTCATCCTGCTCGTCTGCCTTTTATCTCTTTGCGGTTCTCAATTGTCAAAGTGGGGAATTCTACCCAAGCTGTCATTCAGCTGCAGGCGTGGCAAACTACTGTAATGTTCCTGCCACAACATTCGCCTCCGCGAAAGAGCTTCTTGTTTGTTTTTTTTCAAACGCACTTGCTTTGAAACGCACATATTCGCGAGAGGAAAACCATGCGTGTTGCAACTATTTGTGTCATTGAAGATTTATTCCTTCCCATAACGTGTGAACGTATTCCCAATTGTATTAGCCGCAACGCTCTGCTGAAGGAAATGCAAAGTCCCAGATAAGAGCCAGTTTCCTCTACATCTGCTGCCACTCTATATCAATGCATTGAACCCGGAGTGGTCGCCTTAAATTCTGGTGCACTTTCTGCCCAGTGTGATGACAATGTAACTGACGAGGAGTGCTTCGAAATATATAAAATGGCAGGGGCTTCTAAGCTCACTGTGCAACCTGAAAGGTGCAGAAGAAAAACTCCCCTTCGCCTTCCTACCACTCGCCTTCCTTCCACCGCTTTTAATAGGATTTCTGTTTCGGGGCCAAAAGTGACAGCCTGCATATTTTTAAGGGTTCCATTAAGGAGCTTCCATGCCCGCTTCCAAAAAGGCATCCTGCCAGGGTGCTGGGAAGTTGGCAGCGACGTTACCTAGATTGGATTGCACATCAAATTCGCCGCATTTTATTTGTCTTGGCTCGGTTCGGCTCGCTCCGGCTGGATAGACTGAGATTGATTCGAACCAAGTTAAAGTGGGCCGGCTTTAACCACTTGCCGCTGGGCTGCACTTAATGATGCATAAAATGTTGGAGCGCCGTAGGACCGTCGACCTAAACAATGCGCCCGCTCGAAGCCATTAGGCTAAGCCGCTTACAAGCCATAAACTATGTGGCTGAGATGGCGTGGTAGTAGGCGACTCCACACTGAGGTCGTGTGGTCGGTTCACTGTAGGCATAAGAGCGACCCGAGGGTCGAGACTGGCTCCAACTTTAATGGCTTGTGCCAGGGTCACTTGTGAGAAATCGCGAGTGGAATCGATTCGATGCGTTACTTTAAGTCATTAAACGAAACTCAACCTCTCATCGTGCCTTCGATCGAGTTCTCATATCTCCGCTGTCATCAAAATGTATGCCATTTCGCATTTGCATTTGCATTTGCACTGGCATCTTTAACGAGACTATTTGCTCATCATTAGCGCCCGAATATTGAATGGCGAATAAAATTTCAGTCCTCGAATTTTCGATCATCCCCGTAGAAACTTTCTTCTTGCCGCCACTTAGCTTGTCATTTCTGGGCATTCCGCATTTTTCCGTGCACATCCGGCGAGCTCGTTAGTATTCTCCTCCTCTGCGGGAGTTCGTTTTTCCATGAGGCATTTGCTATGCAAACTAACCAGTGACCAAGCCCTCCAGCACGAAGGGCACGAATAATGGGCGCACTTGCTACCCATTTATTACGTCCAGGGAGTCCTGCTCCCGCCCGTTAAGTAACGCACAGTTTGGGCTCGCAGTTTCGCGTTACGTGGCTCGGTGACGCCCTCAACTGCATCCACTGCTTCCCATCGTCGTCGTCGTCTGGCCAGCTGAGCTATTGCATTGGGATGATGGATACCTCCCGTCTAGCGGCCAGTTTTTGAGTCAATCTGCGTAGCCCTTTCTGGAAATGGAATGGCGCATTTGATGTCTGACAACAATTTATCCGAGGTATAATTGTCTGTAAAATTCTGTGAGTGATATAGAATAGAAGAGAATATTATTGCTTCAAAACACAGATTATTAATATAATTTTAATAAAAACAATTCATATTTTGTATCATACTTAAATAAAATCTTCATATTGTCTTATATAAAAGATAACAAAAGTTCACACTCTGAGCAGACCATTGCACTATGGAAAATTTTACCACTTTTTTCGGGCGAAAAGTAATAACTCTAGAATGGAGGGTATTGACCTACATAAGCCCATATCATTTATAATACCACAAAACTGTGGGCGTGTCGCCGCCCCTAATATTGTTTTAGTTTATATGAGAAATAATAATATTTAGTGTGTTTTTCCCATTGATGACTATGCGTATCCCAAAAATTGTGTTAATTAAATCATTTTTGCATAGGCTTTCTCTAATTTCGTAAATTTTTCTAGTCTAAACAAAAACAACTGATTTGGTGAACAGGTTTGTAGATAGAATTATTTTACAAATATTAACATAATAACAACTATAATAAGAGATAGCTAGCATCGTTCTCTAAAAAAGTGCCAACGGAACTTTGACTTTTGGGATCGCATGTAGAATTTCACAAAAAAGGCTTAGCCCTAAACCGTTAAAGATAACGATTATGCGGACTCAGCAGGAAAATACTTGTATTTTAAAATATTTGTATTCATTGAATTGTGCATTAACAGTTGTCGAATTAAATATTTCAAAATAAAAAAATTTGAAATTTCCAATTTCGCTTTTTTTAAAAAAGAGTATTACTAACGTATCTAACGAAATCAAATTAGCTAAAAATTTTAGTAAGATCGAGTATCAACACTTAAAAATTGATCCGAAATTTGCTCCTTTCGGTTAATTTCGTTTGATTGCAATTGGCGATAGATTAGGAGCGTTCTTACCACAGTCGGGAAAAGTCCGAAAATTCGAGGGCCGTGAAAGCTGGTATCGATTAGAATGGTATTGAAGGATACTTAACCGCCAATCGCAGGTAATTGGTGCTAGAAAGTTGGTGCAACCGTCGAGTAAACCCCAACCCCATCGAAAAGCTAAGGCCCTTCCCCTGGTAAGCTCGTGTCCTTCCAAGCAGGCAAAGTAAATTAATAGCAACTGGGAACTGGCCCAGAAACCGCAGTAATACTCAAGTGGTTTCTTGTTGACGGCTTTGTGGTCGGCTGTCATCGCGCCATCATTAGTCAATGTTGCTTTCGCCCATAGAGGCGGAAAAAGGTTAAAGTAATCTTAGAAACTCGCTTGAAAACTGCATCTGCTTAAAACATACATCAAAAGAATTGGACCTGGCAGAATGCTCGTTTTTTACCAAACCCACCCATAAATAAAATTTTCCGCCCCCCAACACCGTATTAAAGAAAAACTCCTTTGCTCGTATGAATTAAGAAAAAGACAAGGCATTACCCTAATTTTCTACCGAGTGCGGGGAATCAATGATTCAAGTGTATATTTCCAAAACAACTGTTAACTCATTTAAATCTGGAAATCGGCTTGCTGGAATCACCTAATTGTCCTCGCTTATAACTGCTTATGCAATGCCGAGTAAGTCAAGCGGAGCCGAGGCCCCTGGAAATGCGAAGCGATTGTTCGTTGTAATTATACATTGCACATTGTAAGGGTGCTAATGGGCGAGCGATCAGGAAATTTCCCATGCTGCCGCGTAGATATTTGCATATGAAACTTGTTGGGATGGAGGCGACACATCGAACAGGCTTTCTCAAAAAAGCGATCGCTGCAGATAGCGCATCAGTCTAATTGAGTAATTAGCAGTGGCAAAACAATTGTAAGCGAAACCTCCAATGAGGTTTCAGCCGACTGAGATCATCCCACCACCATTATCATATTTAATGTACTTATACTATCAATTTGATCAATTATCTTGCAAAGGGCAATAAGTTCGGATCGCATTTACTTATCTCATCTCTTTATCTGCATCATCAACCGTCCGAGTACTTTTGGTTTTTATTTAAATACATTTAATTACATTTTCCTCAGGCAAGCATTTCAAAATTAGAAGGCAGAGCCAGCTTTGTAAAAGAAAACACAAACATGTAAACTTTAAAAGATATTGGAATTATTACTGGAATATTGCTTAGCTGGAAGTGCTATCATTCGAATCGGAAAGTCTCATCTATGAACTTGACCCACACAGCATAGGAATCCAGTAATAACAATAACAGAGAATGAATTCTAATTGGAGATCAGCTGCATCGCGGCTGCTCTCTCGCGACTTTGGGCCTGCGTCGCAACAGCACACACAGTGCTGTTAGTGGCGCCCTCTCGCTCCTGCTTTCGCACGCTCTCTCAGTCTGTACACGTCGCTCGATCGCATTCGTCATTTTTGCTGCGTTGCGCGTTTCTGCCGACAAAATATCGGGAAACAAATAAGTGAAATAAAGCGATATCTCTTTGTGAATCCATGTGACACATTTAATAAGGCCTCCCCCGCCCCCCTGCAAGTTGTCGCGTGAGTCTAAAGAAACGGTGCTGCTGCGGCCGCTGTTAGTTGTGTTGCGTCCCTCTCCCACTCTCGGGGACTGTTTGGGCCGCTATTGTTGTTGTAACGTGATTGTCGCCTGTTTTTCCAATTCTGCTGCCGTCTCTCACCTGTCCACATCTCCGTTGTTGTCATTGTTGTCATTGTCGCTGCCACCCACTCAATTCCCCCGCTCCCCGATGCACCCACCACCCGGTTCGCAATTCAATCAATTCATTTTTTCTAACAACCTGGCCCGATAACTGCTTGTTTAGTCGTGTTCCGAACTTCCGACGCAGCAATCAGAAAGTTACTCCGCGCGATCCCAGATCTCGTGCTCGTGCTCGTGCTCCGGATAAAGTGTCCAAAGCAATAGTGTGGTCCAATAGCATCTCTTGTTGGCCGATGGCAGTCAGTCAAATAGCAGCGCATAGTCTGGGCCACGTTATTGATTTTCTAACGAGCTGAAGAAACTAGCCCACAATTCTTCGGAATTTTTCGTTAGGCGGCGTCGGGCATTCCAAGAGTCTGTCCGTCGGTTCTGCTGAAAGAATTCTCCCGTCTTCTTTCAATGCCCCTTACAGTGGAAACTGGTTAAGACGTACTTATGTAGTATAGCAAGAGCGCTAATAAAGAAGTTTTGGTCGGTGTGTCAGAAATCTAAGTGATCGAATTGTATTTATTAATTAAAAGAGAATAACATTTGAATTCTTCATATGCAAACGGCATTCTTATGACGTTTAAAAATATGCCACGGATCTATCAAGACTTGTTTTCTTTTGACGAGTATCCACTGTGTAATCATTATTCACCCTGGAGCTGAGTTGGCTCTATAGCAAAACTTATGTGTACATATGTACATACATATGTATGTATATATGTATGTATGCACAGCCTTTTGACGTCTTTCAGAGTTATTTCCAAAAACTCAAATAAAGCCGAGAGGGCCACAGAGTGCTGTCAATGACCCACGTCGCTCCGCTGCGATATTTAATTTAATGTTTCCTTATCAGATTCGCCGACCGAACGCTTTTTAGACGCTCGAGAGTACTACAAACAGATAGCGTTGCTGACAATGAAAATAGCCACTAGGTGCCGCGGAACTGGGCGATCTCCCCGGCTTTAATCCCGGAACCACTCGCTTCGCAAAGCTCCACCGCCGATCTAAGCGCACGTACCATGTGCGGAGAGGTATTTGTGGCAGGCGAACTTTAGTATTCATGCTGCCACCTCGTTCGTGACCGAGCAGGTAGAACGAGCTCCCAACCTGCCCAGAATCGATTGGCGTGCATCCCGAACGCAGAGTGGCGAGAGGGTCGGAAGGTATCTACTCCCGCGCTAATAATAAGAATTCGTCCCATCGCCGTCGTTTTCTCTGTTTCACCAAAATGATAGTCATCAATGCCTCTGACGTAAGTGGCTCCCACTAACTTGTATACGTACTTATTGCCATTTGTGTGCACATATGTTTGGGTTAGAGGTGGTGGTTTGTTTTAGGTAAATGTTCATCGGATATCATACGGATGACTCCTTGAACTTACGATTTCGAGTTCCTCTTCTTCCAGAAGCCCTGAAAGATGCTCAGAGCTAGGCGCACTATAAGTATTTTCCTTGAGGAGCAGGTACAGAGATTTTTAAAGTATTATAAGTCTCCCAATTGAAGTTGGAATGGCTGCTGGAACTCATATTGGGAATTCAAACTATCGCAGTCAAAGATCTGGTTAAATCTTTGCATTGCTAATCTAAGCTGATCTGTTCAAATTTATAGCCCGAGCCCTGTGTGCAAATTAGCTAAGTGTGGCTTTTGTAATGCTTAGTGCCCCGTCCACCACGTGAGGTCTATCCGGTTCTCCGGACAGGTATTGCAAGTACTAAGCGATTAACTTGCTTACATATCCGGGTAAAGTGGAAACTATTAACTATAGACGGTATTCGGCGAACTTCCTACCATTTCCCATTGGGTTTTTTGCACGAAATGCTTGATCGCTGGAGCTCCAAATCTAATATGCCAATCACGTTTCGCAACTATTTTTTCAGATTGTTTGTTCTTGAACCAGTGCTTGTAAGCTCCACTTCACAAAGCCCTGTTTATTTGCCTTTCAAAAAGCAAGAACTCTAAGCGAGTTTGGTTAAGGTATTCGAGTACACAACCCAATTTTAATATGACGGTTATCAGAAAAAGCGGCTGAGGCAAAATGTATTGCGATAAAAAGACAGATCGCTTCGGCGAACAGAAGCTTAGATGCTTTGCAGAAATTATATATTAAGAAATGTATATTCTGTAAATTCTGTATAAGAAACAACGAAACTATGATTTCTGTCCTATTATTTTTATCAGATTTTGATCAGATTAAAGACGAATTATTTTTATGATTAAACCAAAGCTATAATTTTTTGTCCATTGTTAATTTATCCGACTTTTTGATATGGACGTCCGATTGCGATGATAGTAAAACCGAAATTGTACATTGTCAAAAAGGGGTACAATAGCAATTTGTTGTTTAAATGGTGCAGAAAGTTCCGGGAAAAATAACAAAACTCACTTCTAAACTCGAGCAATTTAAAGTTTGTGTACACGAATTATTCTGACCATTGCAGCCACGTTGTGAAATAAAAACTAATTTGTATAATTAATATGCACGTACTACAATACAATGTTTATACGCATAAATAAATAATCTGAGCTGGAAGATGGATGAGAACAAAATGTTCATAACGGAATATATTTAAGTAAAAATTGCTTAGAATTTAAATTGCACGCTGAGACTTTGCAAAAATATATAAAAACAAGATAGAATGCGATAGTCCCCGACTATCAGATACCCGTTGCTCAGCTAGAGGAAGTGCGATCTAGAAATTTCATAATTTTCTGGAATATCGGTAAAAATTGCGAATAAAATGAAAATATGAAAAACAAAATTTCAAAAATGTGGACGTGACAGTTTTGGGTGGTAGAGTGGACGTGGCAAAACGATTTTAGGCAAATCGATAGAAATTTACAAGATTAATAAAAAAATTAAAAATTTTTCAAAAATATGGGCGTGGCAGTTTTGTGTGGTTTGTGGAAGTTAGAGTGGGCGTGGCAACATTTAAACTAGACAGACAGACATGGCCACTTCGTCTTGGCTTTTGATCGTGATCAACTCCCACGGAAAATATTAAAAAGTTCTTGCTTAAGATGCATCAATTAGCACCTTATTAAAAATCCGTTTAAAAGATATTTTGATTTTGCTTAGTATTTAACTTTATTTTAGTGTCTAAATTCCTTTTATCGTTGTTTAACAGCGAAGAAACCTTGTTATATCAATTCAAAAAACGAACAATATTTCTGCGGGAAAACAGCTGTAAATAGATAATATCGTCAAAAAATCATTAATGCACAAACGAAATTACAAATTATTCAAGTAACCGTATAGCCCTTGAACTTTTCTTATGAAGTTATCAAGGAGTTTTGTTCCGCTCTTACCCATTCGGACTAACAAATCTTCAATAGAATGGCCGAATGGGTAAAATATTTTGGAAAAGTGTCAAATGAGTGAACTTCAGGTGGTGTATTTATCAATACAATTTTTAAAATGCTTCGTAACAGAAGTTAATATTCAATTTTAGTATGTAGAGGTGCGCTTGTCTCTAGCTTTCTCCCTCACTGATCCGAAAAAAACATATATAAATTGTATTTGTTTTTAGAATTGGGATATCAAAACAAGAGAGGATGGTATAGTCCAGTTCCCTGACTATCAGATACCCATTACTCAGCTAGTGGAAGAGCGAAGGAAAAATTTCAAGATTTTTCTGCATAAGCTATAGAAGGGGTCCAATTATTTTTGTATACCGATAGAAATTGGCAAGAAACAATAAAACGAAAAAAAAGTCAATAAAATTTTGAAAAGTGTGGGTGTGGCAGTTTTGGGCTGTTTGGGTGTTGCGTTAGAGTGGGCGCAGCAAAAGGCAGATCGACAGAAATTTACAAGAATCTCTGGAATCTGCATGCTTAGTCTCAACTTTCTAGCTTTTATAGTTTCTGAGATCTCGACGTTCATGCAGATTGACAGACGAGCGGACATGGCCAGATCGACTCGGCTATTGATCCTGAGCAAGAATATAGATACTTTATGGGGTCGAAAACGCTTTCTTCCATGTAGTACTCTACGAGTAACGGGTATAGTAACTTGCAAGTCCAGTTGTGAGAAACAGCATGTTGTTGGCTATTGAGTTTGATGACAAAACTAAGTAGGAATCGGGATAATTCGCTGCCAAGAACTGGTGGTCGAAAGTGGGGCCTTGCACGTTGGGAATGTCTATTAAGCAATTAAGTAATTACATTTTAAACATTTTTGAAAAGTATTTAACAATCCTATTTTCCTTCCGCAGACGGGCCTAACCCTCACACCCGAAATGCTGTTATCCACCTCGGAATCATCGACCCACAGTGCCTCCGAGGTCGCCGGACGACTACAGGTTGACGTGCGTACCGGCCTCAAATGGACAGAGGCGAAGTATCGAGCCAAGATCATAGGGCATAACGAGCTGCTGCTCGTGGCGGAGGATCCCACATGGAAGAAGTACATTGAGCAGTTCAAGAACCCGCTCATTCTGCTGCTTCTCGGTTCTGCCCTGGTGTCCGTGATAATGAAGCAGTTTGACGACGCCGTGAGCATAACCATTGCCATCCTAATCGTGGTCACGGTGGCGTTTATCCAGGAGTACCGCTCGGAGAAGAGTCTGGAGGAGCTAAAGAAGCTGGTGCCACCTGAATGCCACTGCCTACGGGAAGGTCGTCTGGACACCTTCCTGGCACGCGAGCTGGTTCCCGGGGATATAGTCCACCTCAACGTAGGCGACCGGGTGCCCGCCGACGTGCGCCTTTTCGAAGCTGTGGACCTGTCCATCGACGAGAGCAGTTTCACTGGCGAAACAGAGCCGGCGCGTAAAATTACTGATGTCCTGTTGAACAATACGAACGTGAAGGACCACAGCAACATGAAGAACATCGCCTTCATGGGCACTCTGGTGCGATGTGGCAACGGCAAGGGCATAGTTGTCAGCACTGGGGAGCGCAGTGAGTTCGGTGAGGTCTTCAAAATGATGCAGGCAGAGGAGGCTCCGAAGACGCCTCTGCAGAAGTCGATGGACATACTGGGCGCTCAGTTGAGCTTCTACTCCTTTCTAATTATCGGTGTCATCATGCTCCTGGGCTGGCTACAAGGCAAGCCGCTCTCGGAAATGTTCAACATCAGTGTCTCACTGGCCGTTGCGGCCATCCCCGAGGGCCTTCCTATCGTGGTAACTGTGACTCTAGCACTTGGCGTAATGCGGATGGCCAAACGAAATTCCATCGTTAAGAAGCTGCCTACTGTTGAGACTTTGGGCTGCGTGAACGTTATCTGCTCTGACAAGACGGGCACTTTGACCAAGAACGAGATGACGGCCACGATCATCATCACTTCCGACGGATACATGGCGGACGTGACCGGTGCCGGTTACAATGATCAGGGTGAAATCCACATACGGCATTGCAACAATGTGGATATAGCCAAGACCAACATTACGAACCTTCTGGAAATCGGGGCGGTCTGCAACAACGCCTACATTCAAAATGGCACCCTACTAGGACAGCCCACTGAGGGAGCCCTTGTGGCGGTAGCCATGAAGAACGGAATGTATGCCACAGCTGAGAACTACGTTCGCATCCAGGAATATCCCTTCAGCTCGGAGCAGAAGATGATGGCTGTGAAGTGCATCCACAAGTATAACAACAACAAGGAAGAGATTTTCTTCGCGAAGGGGGCTCTCGAGACCCTGTTGCCGCAGTGCACCAAGTATCAGTTCGGCACCCAGACGGTGCCACTAACCAAGCAGAACGAGGCCGAGTTCCTAGCCGAGGCGTACGACATCGGGCGCAAGGGCCTTCGCGTGTTGGCGCTGGCCAAGGGCCGGTCCATGCAGGATCTGATCTACTGCGGCCTGGTCGGCATCACTGATCCACCGAGGCCCCTTGTGCGGGAGTCCATTGAAATGCTGATGCAGAGCGGAGTGCGTGTGAAAATGGTGACTGGAGATGCCCAGGAAACGGCCTTGGCCATTGGTAAGTACCTTTGATTTGTGTTGTCTCATGAATCGCTTTTAATCAATATGTATACGGGATAAAATGAATCAAGAATCAGTTTTTCCCTTCTGGCGAGCTCTAAAAATGTCATATCTATCTCGACTATTAGGTGATGTCAAAACTCTATTCTATGTTCTTTAGGCTGCTTCTTTGTAGGACCATCCCAACCGCAAAATCTTTTTTATATCTATTGTGTTTAGCTAGACGATACTAAGTAAGCAAACATGTCCCAGGCTTCCAACACACCCTTATCAAACCACTTTTTCTGTTTCATCAACGAGGTAGACATCTGCTCAAGGGATTGTGCTCTACTATTGTGAAAACCGAAATCATTAAGCAATAACAAGCAGTTGGCCAGACAAGCCAGTTTTTCTACCGAAGGAATTACCATTTCACTTAAAACATTTAAATGATTTAATTTCTGAAGTTATTCAACCAAAGCTACGAGTGTAGTGGAAACTAGGAGTTTTTTTTCCATATATCAGGTGTTTGTTGATGACACAAGCGCAGGTTTAAGCATTCAACTCGTCGGGTATTGGAGATGTAAAACATTGTCTTTTGCCCAAAAAGCGGACAAATACAAATACAAAGGTAGGTCAGAAAATTGGAAAAGATACCGCGCACAGAGCACAAAAGAAACCGTCAAAAGGGAAGAGCTAAGAAAGAAAACCAACTCTAGGTAGCTGTTCCCTTGGGGTTCCTTGGCAACGGAGGCGTTCCATATCAAATATCCTGTAAAACAGGAAAGAATAGGATAGAGCATCGACGTCGTTGTCAGCAGTCAGAAATAATTAGCTGTGCACCTCATCTCTCCGTATTCCCCTAAAGTTATCACAGACCCAGCATCGTCTGCATCGTGGCCATGATATGCGCATTTGTGGCGGGCAGGACGCTGGCACCGTCCCTGAAATTTGTTTGAAGTATCTAAAGATTGAAGCTTGTACATTGAATCAACTCCATTGCTTGCCATTTCCATTTCTTTCCTGTTTCTGCTCCCTATCTTTGTGAAAGCAGTATTGCTTAGTCCTTAAAGGGAACAATTTGTGTCAGTTTTTACCTTAAATGGTATTCAAATTAATTAAATTTCTTTTCAAATATAGCTCAGCAATCTTATTAGGAACTGACTATCCCGATAACCTATGAAAAAATATAGACTCATAGAATCCTTTAAACTAGAATGTCTTTTAAGCCATTGTATTCCATTTTGATGTCAAACCAACCCACAGAATGTTGTACCTCTAATTAGGTACGGTATTTATCTAATACTCTTTACATTACATTGATATTTATTTTGCCAACATTTAATTTTAAGCACGGCCTTCTTATTCTACTTTCGGCTGTAGCCTCTTATTTTCGAATTAATGAACTTGTGTTTGGTCAGACAATTGTTTCTAATTGCATCGACTTATCCCTGAAATACTGGAAGACTAATGATGAAATTGGCAGGCTTTGTTTTATTTCAATGCTGTGGCCTGTTTTAAGCAATTAGCTTGCTGATTAAGATACAAAAAATATATGCATAAGGGATGACTTCCCATGAATACTGACATCCATATTCAACTTTTTTTCTCTTAAAACATGGGAAAACTTGTCCCTAATTTTTCGTATGCTCACATTAATCAGTCTAAATTTCCATAGCACGACAAACTTCTTTCCAATTAGCGAAGTGCGTTTGAAAATGCAGTCTGTACTCGGCCAAATAATCCTGCATGTTGATTGCGAGTGTTTTTCGCCGGTATTTATAATGGCCATTTCCACGAGTTGAAGGAAAGAAAGCGGAAACAAAGTCTGCAACCAGCCGAATGAAGTCGTCACGTACATGAACTGGCTGAACAATGATTGGATTGATGCTCCTTCAGCTTGGAAGTGAAAATGCAAACGACACTGGCAAGGAAAACTTTCCTTACTGTTGTTTGGCGACCCATACGATGCCTTAAATTACCAAATATGTTTTTACTCGGCAACGTATGCTTGCTTTTTTCAAATATTGGGCACAAATTTGCTATGATTTTGGACGCCAACTCCACTCCGAGCTCCTTCTCACTCTGTGCCGTGCGAAGTTTTCTTGTGGAGGGCTGGGGTTTCGAGTGGGTCTCAAAATGCTTGTTTCACAGTTTAGGCGCTTGCCATTTTATAAACTTTCCAGCAACTTTTGAGCCGGTTGCACCCACGATTGCTCCTAATCCGCCTTTGGCTTGCGGTTTGTGGCTCAACATTTTTGCATCACATGCAATGCCCAAAACATGTTCTGATAAGCCGGCTGAAAACCAAGTAACCAACTTGTTGAGTAAAAATATGTTGTCTATAAAAGTGAACGAGTGGATACACCTATCGAGAGCTTGCCCAAAACCGAAGGGTGAAATTTTTGCATGGCTTAGGAGACAAAATAATATGCTTATGGGGTTGTGGAGGGATAATCCGGAACCCATTTGACTTGGCATTCCGACTGCCACGACAACATGGAAAAATGTGTTAATATTTTCACAATTTGGTATTGGTCTTCTTAAATTTCATTTTATTATTTGTCTTTCCAAATAACGATTTGTTTTAATTTTATTGTTATTTTATTGTTCTATTGATATGCCAAAAAGATTGTTGATCTTTCTCGTTTCTAGTGGGGGTGGCTGAGTAAAGGGTATCTGATAGTTTTTTTGTTTTCCTTGATTTTATACTACCTCTAAGAACGAAAATCGACAAGTCTCAGAATCGTATTTTTTATTATTATTATGTATAACATACTCACGTTTTATTTGACAGAACCGTAATTCAGAGACAAATTGTTGGCATTATAATTAATAGATTTGTTCTGTGAATATCACACAAAACCCAGTTGGATCTATAGTTCCTATGAACTGACTGACAGACTAGTACAATGTATAACAAATGCGTGTGCCCATTTCACAAGTCCAGTGAAACACAGCTTGGTAGAGAAAGGATGCACTTTGGAGTGGACTACCGGCTCCTCCCACGGGGCATTAGGGAGACAAACTGCTACTGCAAGCTTAAAGCAGTCGTACGGAGGATTGAAAAAGATGGAAGTGGTGGGCAGACGGCTTCCCTGAAGATGGCCACCTCCGGAGGGCGACGGGCTTCTTTTAATTGTTTGGGACGGGCGAATAGGTATACAGAGACGCTGAATACGTTTTAATTACGCATCCCTTTGCTCATTTTACCGCGCATCCTTGCGTTGGACACACCCTGTTGCTTTTGTTGCAGATTGTTATTATTTACTTCAGTGCACTCTGGCTAAAATTTTGCACAAACACGACGAGCACTGGGATAGGACAGGCAAGGAGCTCGGTTCTGGGCAGGACAAATATGCGGGCGCCATAATGAAAAATAGCGACGCGACTTTTCGCAGAAGTTCTGCCGATGCTATTGTTGTTCCTGTCTCCAACAGCTGCCACCCATTGAGCGCACTTCATAAACGCGCTCGAGTGCAAAAAGAATGGAGGCGGGAAATGGTATCGGCACAAAGGGAGCGGGAAGTAGGTCGTTCCTGCTTAAGTTTTTCAACTTTATTGCTTGGGCTTCAATTGAATTTTCGAGGAGCAAACAACTCGCTGCCTGCACACCCAACAAATTAACAATTGTTTTTGAACTCTTCGGGGATTAAGATCCAAGTCGACGGCTTCAAGCTGTGCCGACACACGCGACTCCTAGCCTGGCCAGTGGCAGGTGGGGGCACCAGTGTGCAGCGCTTCAGCCTGTTGCTCGACAAATTGCTTGGAAAATGTAATGAAAGAAGATTTACTTGACTGCCTTGGCACAACAGAGTCTGGCTCCAGTGCCAGGTATGTGCAGGGGTGCAAGGCATTAGAAGTGGGCTCAAGGACAAAGGGAAGTGGTTGTGATGGTTCACCTAACACTCTGCTTTAGCACAGTTTCGTTTGGATAATGCAGGGCACTTCATATTAGCCTGCCTTCTTAAACACGATTTGTTTTTTACTCGCAGCGAATCTCATCGGTATCGATACAATCCACCACCAGACGCTTTCCGGTCAGGAAATGGATCAAATGAACGAGCACCAACTGGACAAGGTAGCCAACAACGTGAGCGTCTTCTACCGCGTATCGCCACGCCACAAACTGGAGATAGTCAAGTCCTTGCAGCGCAGTGGCAACATAGTCGGCATGACTGGCGACGGAGTGAACGACGGGGTGGCTCTGAAGAAGGCGGACATCGGCATAGCCATGGGCAAGAACGGGACGGATGTGTGTAAAGAGGCGGCTGATATGATTCTGGTCAATGACGATTTCCACACCATAATGTAAGCGGATTACTTAATCAGCTGAGTTTTTCCTAATTTTCTTTCCCCGCAGCGCCGCCATCGAGGAGGGCAAGGGCATCTTCTACAACATTCGAAACTTCGTGCGCTTTCAGCTAAGCACATCAATCGCTGCCCTGGCCCTGATTGCCCTGGCTACTCTGATGGACATTGCCAACCCGCTGAATGCAATGCAGATTTTGTGGATCAACATCATAATGGACGGTCCGCCCGCACAGTCTCTGGGTGTGGAGCCCGTCGACCACGATGTCCTCAAACAAAAGCCGCGGAACGTGAAACAGCCGATGATCACAAAGTCTGTGGTGGTGAACGTTCTGCTTAGTGCCAGCATAATTGTACTGGGCACGCTGTGGGTGTTCCAGCGCGAGATGGCCGACGGGACGCTGGGAAAGACCAAACGGGACACAACAATGACCTTCACTTGCTTCGTGTTTTTCGACATGTTTAATGCCCTGTCTTGCCGCTCGCAGACAAAAAGTGTATTCACCATCGGACTCACTACCAATCGGATGTTCTTGCTGGCCGTCGCCTTCTCGATCATTGGTCAAATGCTGGTTGTCTACTTTCCGCCGCTGCAAATGGTTTTCCAGACGGAAGCACTTACGCCTTATGACATATTCTTCCTGGTCTCCCTAACCTCCTCCGTGCTGGTTGTTTCAGAGATAAAAAAATGGTTCGAGCGTACCATGGAGCGCAAGATGTACAGCACCCGCTCCGAGCTGGATTTTGTATGACAAAACGCAAGCGCTAGAGAAGATTTGCACCCCAAAGCCGAGTAAATTAAATAACTAACAAAAAAATCCATAAAAAAAGTAAAACTATGCCAAAACAAGCGAGGAGCGCGGCGAAGTATAGTCAGAGAGCTGCAAAAGCCGAAACAAGAGCAATGGAGCAAGGATGTGTGTGTTTAATTTTACATTTGACTTGACCAGTTAAGAAACATTTAATTGTCATTGTGGGTTTTCAACCAGATTGCGCAGCAGGGATTTTCATAGATTTAAACTAAGTTTCCAGGTTTGTTCTGAGGTCTCTGTAATTTTTGCATTGTTTTATAAGTGGCAAAGAGTTTGGTTTAATTTTGATGTGTTTATTATGTATGCAGCAGTACTATTCTTTTTTGTGATCCATTTATTCACACATGCTCACGTATTTAAAAGAAAGCATGCAATTATTACAATTATACATATTACGCATACAATTTATTTGTTCTCCAATAGGCTGCAAAACAACTTTTTCTTTACCCTTTAATTTCCATTTTATCTCCAAATGCTTCTCTAGTTTCTAATGCTCAACGCGCAATTTGTGTCAATACGAAGTGTTTAATAATCTATAAAGGTCGGCAAAAACAGTTTAATGTGATATTATTTTAAGCACATAAACCAGATCATCCCACTAGTGTGCAGAACGCAAATTTTTAATTTATGTTTATTTGCATCTCAACTTGTGGAACCAATTATTTCAATTTTGAAAAATAAAACATAAACTGTAAAGAAATTGTAACATTTAATTTATGATTTTGATTTTCAAAGATCTTACGTATTTTTCCCCACAGCGAAGCAACCGGATTATACATCCAGTGAACACTCACTACGATCCGAGTATGTTCACCAGGAAAATGCAATACCACTGGGTCACAGTCAACATACATAAAAAAGAAACGGTTGCGAGTCAAAAAAGGCATGAAATGGACAAAGCTAAGCGAGGCGTAGTGGAGTAAAACATGGTTTTTTTTGGTATTATTGATCAATAATTTATTCGGTATTTGAAAAGCAAGCATTCAATTTGTGTAAAATTGAGGCAAATCAAAACTCTAGCGTGCTATAAAAAGAAAAACAAATTTTGACAAAGTCATCTCCAAATTAACATTAAATGGAGAGTCGAGATCGACAAAAGATTTTTGTGCGTAATCAAAAACGCTATAATTTCCCTATACTTTGTGGGCGTTGATTTGATGCTTTTGCAATTAAATTGATATTTAAGCACCAACAATTTACAAGTATAGCTTATCCAAAGATGACAGATTGTAATCAAAAGTAAGCATCTCAATAATCTCTTAATAAAATTTGAACAAAAAATTCTGTAGATTACCAACACTTGTCTAAACCTTATATTATCACTACTATCACTTCTCAAATATCATTGACATAATTCATATCATACCAACAAAGAGTTCACTGTTGCACTGCAAGCATATCACAATCTGTCCATGTTTTTATACCCGTTATCCGTAGAGTAAAAGGCAATACTTGATTCGTGAAATATTAACCCTTTTAAAGTATACCTATATATTCTTGATCAAGATCACTAGCCGACTCTTGCCATGTCTGTCCGTTCTTATGTCCGTATGAACGTAGAAATCACCGCAGCTATAAAAGCTGCCACACGTTCCCACGCACATCTATCGATAAGGCCACGCCCACAAATCGCATAAAAGCTTTACCTTCCAAAATTTGTACTAGAATTTTATTTTTATTACGTTGCTAGACAAATTTGATCGAAATTTTATCGAAACAATTTTGAAATAATTCCCTTGTACTCCCACTAGTTGAGTAACAGGTATCTAAAGGTCGAGGAATTCGAATAAAGCGTTCTCTCTTATTTTTATCCCAACGAGCTTACTATGTCAACATTTTTTACACACTTCAAACTGTCAAACGCAATTTACTTTCACACCGCTGATCGCATTTAAAGGACCAATCATAAAAAAATTAATTTGATCGCACACATTATGATCAGCTTACGCTCGACAAAAACGCACTCATATATCACGGCAAAAAAAAATTAAAAAAAAAAACTTGAAAATAAAAAAAGATGCAAAAAAAACAGTAAAAATATTTAATGAAGGAAGCTCGTTTAACAGAGCAAGCAATTGAATACCAGCGCATTAAATCATACTAAAAGTACATAAGCAGAAAACCAGAGACACACAGACCCACACACGATCACTCACATCTCATCCACAATGGTAACAATAATTAGAAAATTAAGCATATTAATATAGAGTAAGAAATATGAATGTCTGGAGGAATAAATAAATTGCACCAAATAACATGAATATATTAGTCAAAACAGGTATACATTAATTTATGGAATTTAAACTAATCTCTACTCAATGTTTTGTGTAAGCAAAGTCCGAAGTTCGACTTAGAATGAATGATGGTACTAAACGAGTTATTAACCACAGAAATATTCATTGATCGTCTATTAAAATATATGTATGTAAGTTTCTAGACCGCCTACTTTAGGAGCTCAAAAAAATATGTTGCCCAATTTCAACATATACTAATATAGTTTAAATAGTTTGGTGAAAGGACGTGTACAACTGATGGCAAAGGTACGAGTTCTTAAGATCCTTTTCTACAAAACGCTTAACCTATAAAAATTAACTATAACTATCTGTGCTATTAAATTTAAGCTATAATAAAATAGATAAATACCAAGAGTAATGCAAGCATACATTCATACATATTTCGAGAAAAATAAGAACTTTGCCCCAGAAATGACATAAACTAAATTGAACTTTCATCGTTGTGTTTTACTAAAGCAATCCCCTATAAGTGTATATCATTTTATAAATATAACAATATTGTGGCAAGATCTTAGGCATAAATGAATTATGCATGGTAACCATATATTTATAATTAATCTGCGGAATATCGCGAAACAAGTATTTACTGAATATAATAAACTTTATGTAGTACATATTTTTTGATCTCATTGTCTACTATTTTTTTAGAATTGGTGAAATTGGTTTACTATTGGTAAATTGGTGAACTATCACTGTATCGCTAAAACTAAAGGAGTTGTATAGGAAGACCTTAATGAATTAAATAACTTAATAAATAGAAAGTTGGAGCTGTTGGTGGCCTTGACTAAAATTTGGGGGACAGAAATGCGCATTCTTGTAGGTAGCATTCTGTAGCTTGATAAATGTGCTGTTAATGTGTTTGCAAATTTATTTTGGAATATCTAATTTATTGCAGAAGTTTGACTATAAAATACCCGTTCTCAGCTCTGGGGATTGCGAACAAGAAATTTCACAATTGTCTCGGCAAATCGATTAAAATAGGCAAAAAAATAATAAAGTGAAATCAAACTATGAGTTTTTCATGACCCCTACAGAGTATTATGTTCCGACTAAAATAGACTTTATCTTGTTATCTCTAATCCTGACTCCCTACCGCTCTTAAAGCGATAAATTCTAACTTTTTAACACTTGATAAGATCTTACTAATATTTATATTTTCTCGTTCCTTTACTGACTTCCTCAATACAGCTACAGCGTCCACAGCAGACTGAGCTTTTCGTTAGGTGAAATGGGAACCGGCTTTCTTTTTCGTCATTTTTAAAGTTCCTATCTCATACCTATTACTCGTAAAGTGCAAGGATAGACTAGATTTGTTAAAAAGGAAGCGTTTCCAACAGGCGTATTTTCCTGGCTGCACATTATTATTATTTTTATTATTATTAAATGCAAACAAGTAATTACAAATTACAGGCTAACAATAGGAATGAGCAACAACAGCTGTAGGCCTTCAGCTAGAATCTATGATTACAACTGTTGATTTAACTTATTTTCTTAAACTAATTGATATTATTAACATAATTGTATTTACATTGCTGAAGCTGTATCTTTTAACGATTGAATTTTATATTTTATTTAATATTTGGGTTTCGGTAAGGAATTTTAGTACCATTTTGGCATTGTCGTGGATAGGGCTTGAAATTGCTAGGATGGGACTTAGGTTCTGAAAGGCCTGGGTGCGTTGGGTGGTAAGCGAGGGGCTGAAGCAGATTACGTGTGGGATTACATTTGGATTGGTCTAGATAATGGGCGTTCGTAAAATTGGTGTGACCTAATCTAAGTCTTGTTATAATGATTTGCTCCCTCCTAGTCAAGGGAGTATTTTTGGGGAGTGTTGGGGATAAAGGGATTAAATCTGGGATCGGTTGATCTAAGGGCTTCAAAGAGTTGGAGAAATACTATTGGAGTTGTACAGTTTTTGTTGTATTTTGTTAGGTGTTTTGCATTGTTTTGTTTATGGTTCAGGGTTTGTTTATGGTTGTGATTGGGAGATATGGAAGGGAGTTATTTTTTGAGAGTTGGATCATATGATCTATTGTGCTGGGGAATCTGTGATTACTTTTCTGTGAATTAATAAGTTCCTTTATTGGGGTGCCCATGGATTGGAAGAGTTTTTGGATAGTTTACCGGTTAGGAAGTCTCTCTTATTTTCGATAGTGCTTATGTTGGCTTCTAATAGTAGGTTGTTTGCTGAATTAAGCGTAGTTTTTAGCTGATTGAGATGAGATTTGGGTGCTTGGAAGACAGTAGCCTACAAGTATTTTGAAGATGATACTTGATTTAATAATTTGGATGAGGGATGAGGAGTTAGTATTGTATTGTATAGTATAATTTATTTATGGTTGATTGTGAGGTCTTGGAAATTGAGGGTTCCTGGTGTTGGGATATTGGATTGGCCTGTGATAATTTGTGCAATGCAGTTATGTTTGCTGCAGATGTGGAGGATTTGACACTTGTCTTTTGAAGAGACTTCGCCAGAGTGGTCGCACCAATCGTCAATTTGGTAAAAGGATTTAGTTTTGGGGTTTTTGTTTTTATTATGTTCGATAGATGGAACTCATCGGCATAGGCACAGAATTAAACTTGTGTTGAGATAGAGATAACGTTGTTAAGGGAGTTGTTGTTAAAAGGAATAAAGAAACTGAAATTGGGGAGCCTTGAGGGATGTCATAGTTTTGAGGGAAGGAATTGGATAGATGTTTGCCATTTTTAACTATTATTTTTTGTTTGTCATACAGTTTTTGACGTAGTTGATCATACCTGCCTACTTGAATGTAGTTGACTTAAACCTGTATGTATACCAATTTTGTAGAAAGCCTTTGTGAAATCTAGAGAAGTGATAGAGAGGTGTTTCCGGAGGGCAATGGATCTGGATCCTAGCTGGTCTAAGTACAGTAGACTGTCAGGTACAGATTTGCCTCTTTTTATTCTATTCACTCATATTTTATTATCTAGTTATTCGGAATTTGAAGGAGATGGGACAACTTATGCTCATTGAATAAGTTATGCGATCGGGGCCTGGTAGGTTGCCTTTCAAGGAGTTAAGGGAGGAGTTAAGGAAGAGAATTCAATGTATATCTTTTTCAATTTCAAGTGCGATATTGGTGGGGATACAACTTGGGGTTGCGACAAGTTCTTTGCTAGGTCGGAATGTTGGCGAGGAGTTGTGATCGCCGGCTTCATCTGACCAAGTTTGGCCAAGAGAATTTGCAATCAAGTTCGGTTCTATTGTAGGTGTGGGATTGTTTATAAAATGGATGGTTTTCTGGGGGACTAAGCCGAAACATGTGACCATGTATTGGTTGGGTTTGAAAAATGGTTGATATTTGAGGTAAACTGTAGCAAAGATGCTTTCTTGTCTTCTCTAATCGATCTTTTCAGTTTCGCCAGGAAACAGCACGTAAAGGCGGTGTTTTGTGGAATGTACAGGTGCGCACTTTGGAGTATTATCTTTTTTATAATGGCTGCCTCTTGCTTAATGTTAGTGTTTGAGTTATAAGCCTATTAAAACTTAGATTATCTCTGTAGAGATTCCAATCTGAATGAGGATTTTGAGGTAAACGTAGCTGAGGTTGAGATTTGAAACATGAACATTAGTATAGGAAAGAGGTCGCTGCCGTGAAGATCATATAGTACTTCCCAGTTGATTTCAGGAGCGATATTAGCCGAGGCAAAGGTGTATGTGTGTGTATATGTTGTTGGAGATTTGTCGTTCAGAAGGATATAGTTCGAACGGTCTAAGTATTTGGCTATAGTCCTGCCCCAAAAGATCTCTTTCGGTGAGCCGCAATACGGATGCAAGCTGTTAAAGTCACTAGTGCTTGTGAGTCAGGAAAGTCAAGGACGCTGGTTAAGTTATTAAAATTGAAGGGTTGAGGGGATAGGAGATTAAATTAAATTTGGTTTTGGACTGGATGTTGGCCCCGACTGCGCCGAAGTCTGAGTTTAAGGGGATTTCGTTGTAAGTTATATAGTTATGTATAAGGAGGGTTGATCCGCCGAAACTGTTGCTGTTATTTTTACTGGTATAGAGTAGTTGATGGGAGTTATAAAATTCGATTTTTATGAATATTATGGTGGTTTGAAAAGCTTAAGTTTTCTTGGTTAGTTTTAAGTACAGGGCATTTTCTGTCTCCCGAAAGATGATATGCGTTGGGGTATTCGCCTCCTCGGCAGTTGATACAACTTGGAATTTCACCCTTTTCTAAATCGATATGTGAGTTAGGACTCCACTTGAGGCATGATTATGGGTTCTTGCAAAACTTGGCCGTGTGTCCCATGTGCAAACAGTTAAAGCAGCGCTTTCATATCAAAGCATTGTTTTTTTTTCTTATCGGTTGATAGTGGACCAAACTTATTGTTTCGATCGGTTAAAACTTACTTTGGCTGATTTTTTACTTGGGAGAACACAAGAGGGGCATACCCGTTCGTATCGATTGCAGAAGTTGAACTACTCAACCAATCTACTATAACGTTTTACTATAACGTTTTTGCTGTTTCCATAAGTAACAGCACTCAAGCAACACGGTAGAAAAATGTTGCATACCTCTAGGTCACTAGATAGTAACGAAAGCCATCAACGAGACGCGTCTCGCTATATTTATTTAAATTCTTCAACTAGTTCTTCCGCGAAAGAGGCATATACTTTTTCTATACAATACTTTTAAGATTAATAACAATGACTTACATACCTACAGACAGTCATCTTCTTTTGATGACGTCAAACAGAATCCAACGACGAGTTTTTACTAATATGGACTATAATTCGATATCCAATATCCGAGCACCAACGAACTTCCAAAACCAATGATCATGACTGATTCCTTAAGAAAATTTTGAAGTATTGAGTGGTTTTTCTATACGAAATTACGAAAGGAGAACTACGAACGTAAATGTGGACTAGATAGCGTCGCAAACCCGAAGCTTTTTGGATTCATTGCTTCCGATTTGCTTTTATGAAACATAAAATAATAATTTATTAGTTTTATAATTGCGATCTTTTTGCTAATATAACCCATATCTCCGTCCGAATGAAAATTATTTTTACCCGTTACTGGTAGAGTAGACTAGGTTGAGATTAAGAATGCAGATTCTGAAAAGTGGACGCAATGCAAGTTTGTTTCAGAACTTTGCCAGGAACGCCCACAAAACTGCAAAACCGGCCACGCTCAGATTTTTAAAAAATGTTAAAATATTGAATATATTAAAATATTAGTTAAATTAGAATTAACAGAGCACGAAAAACAAGACAAATTACAGTTCAGTAAGTAACATGACAGTCGAAATGGATCGTAGACCTTAAAATTCGCTTTTCTATTTTCAAGAAAAGAAAAAGAAAAGAAAAGTTACGTCCTATATTCTGCGTATTGAGCTGACCATCCACACGAGTAGTATTCAAGAATTGGTAGAACAAAATAAATATATATGTGTTTCATGATGTAGGGATCCTTTGACCAGCCTTCAACGACTCCAATAAGCCTCTTTGCCTTACTAACAAGGTGATCGTCAAAGCTTAAATAGTAGTTAAATAAATCTGCAAATCTGTTACGGAATTGATGCATCCAAAGTGAAACGTTTATGGTCGTTTATAAACATCTCAACATTCATTTATATGAACTAGTTTGAGATTGAATTTCCTTGTTAATATGACCGGAATTCCAAAAGTTGATGTTCTTATGAACCCATGGAGCCGTCCTGTGCTTGTGCACATAATTTCGCAGTAAAACGGCACTAAGTTATGTGATTCTAAGGTAGGTTCATTTCACTTATTTCCTTGTTTATGAAGGGAAATTGTTAAAGAATGGGGAAGTGATGTGTAACAACGCACTTGCACAATTTTTACACGTTCGGTACGGAACGGAGGAAAACTGAATTGCTTGAGGATTTTTAAAAACATCATCCTTGTTTATTAGGCATAAATACATAGTTAGGACGAGGTACTGTGGAAGCTAATAAACAAATACATAGTTAGAAAACTATGGCAAATAAGTTTGCAATTCAGACTCATTAGAAACAGTGTCACGATGAAGGCAAGATGGAAATTGTTGAGTTTTTCTTTTGGAATTGACCCATGCAGTCTACTAAGTTTAAACATTAAACTACGAATATTCTAATATTTTGGGGAAAATGACTCACAATATTTTTAGTTTTTAGCTGCAACGTCAGCGAAGGGGACGATTTCATTTAATTTAATAGATTGGAGTGCTTAAACACAACATACAAACTTACAGAATGAATGATTTACATTTTACGATAAACAATACTTATATACATGTTATTAGGGTATTCGTATTTCATTTGAAAGTATGTGACAGGAGATCCAGGTTGCCTGGAACAAAAATTAATTCCCACAGCAAACAAAATGACCATCACAAAATGCCATTTTTCAAAGAGCGACAAAATAATGTTTTTTTAGTTTATTTCTGTCGGATGTGTGCAAATGAGGGTTCGTTAGAGTACACAAGATTATATGAGAAGTGTGAAAGAGGTAGAAGGAATGACCCTATAATGTACATATATTTCTAACCAAGATCATTAACCAATTTGAACGTCGCTATATTGTTTACTTTACAAGCTACAAAGCTTGCCGATTCAAAGGAATTTGCACGGCTACAGTCCGCCCAAAACTGACTCGGCCAGAATTTATTATTTTATTTAAAATTTGTATTTTTTAAGTTCTTTTATCTTTTGTTGCCATTGCCAACAAAGGTCCACGTTGCGCTAGTTGAGTATCAAATAGTCGATGTATTTTTTAAAGTTTCTTACACTTTATCTGTTGATAGGGATAGGTTCATCTTTCGCAAGAGCCAAATCCAAAATTAGTGGTAAGCTTAGAAGGCCGAGACTTTTGAAGTAGTTACATATACTAGTCGACCTTGTACATAAGGTAGTAACATTGTTTGTTTTAGCCTTTTTCACATTGGCGAGAGATGATTGGCAAAAGCCAAAATTCCTTGGCGGACGATATGGCCTCGCCGCCTTACGGCAAGGAGGTGCTGATAGGCAACTGGGCGGAGCGCCGCTACGCAGTGGAGGAGCAGAGCAATGCCATCCTGCCAGGACTCCGGGTGAGCGGCTGCGAGCTCCATAGGTCGCTCTGCCAGGACACCTACACCACTGCACCCTTCGTTGGCGCCGAGACTGTACCCTTGTTCGTGGATCATCGCAAGTTGGCTTACCATAACTTTATAAGGAATAGGCGATCGTGCTTGAACCTGGTGGACGATGAGCTGCTCAAAAGGAACTTCACTACCACCAACACCCTGGAGTTCCAGGAGATTCCTCGACTGCGTCTTATTCACGCGAACCGGGAAAAGGACAAAAGCGGTCCTCCGAAGCAGCCGGCGGACGTGGACAGACTGCAGGCCTTCGGAAATCTGACGAAGACTCACAACTACCTCTTTCGGTTCAAGTGCGACAAAATTCTGGAAGAGATCAGCAACATGCAGACCACCTACTCCTCCAGCTTTAACCGCCCATTGGAAAAAAAGCCAATCTTTGAATTCGGTCCAGACTACGACGGAGTCGTAAAGTTCGACTTGACGTGCTAGCTGCCGGAACTACCTTTTCTGCTCAGAAAAGTATGGGTATGGGCATCTAGAAATGTCCCAATTAAAAATTGCAAGTGTGATCCCAAAGAAACGCGTTTCCCTATATTACAAGATTCAATTTATTTCAAATCATTTTCTTGTATAATAATATGGGTTCGTATTTTAGTAGTTCTATATTTTGGATGCCAGAAATTCTTTGATTTTTTTGGTTGCACTCGCCGTAGCATTGATTTTACCATTTTCATATTTGGTGAGCTATTATAAATTGGTTTCTTCTTTCTTTTCGAAATCAGTAAGTCAATAGATGTTTACAATACTTTGCGTTTACCATTTTCTTTCGCTTGTTACAGAATATATATTTAAATGTTAATTAATTATTACAAAAAGTAAAATTTACGACATTAAACTAGACGACGCAAGATTTTGCATAAGTTTACTTGCTTAAATATTTAATTTTTGACGCGGTAATATTTGCTTGCCTTAAAATCTTATTTATTTTTGTGAGTTCGATTAATTTTGGACTGCCATGATAGGATTCTTTTTGTATTTTTCTTCTTTTTTTGGCTGACGATTAAGTTTAAAATGATGCTTAAGATCTAAACCAATGGAAGTTGTGTGGGTCTGAGTGTGGGGTGGAGAATGTTGGTGTGTAATTTGGTGGTAGTTGCGTGTCCCATGGTGTTTCTTTTTGTATGTGTAATCTTAGGGATTACGTATAGTTTGGCTGGTGTAATGAATGGTCTGGATATATGTTTGCATATATTGTGCTTTATTTGCTTATAACAATTATAATTTTGAATTTTAGCTTACTTTTGGAGTTAGTAGTTTTTATTTTCATGACGGTGAATTTTGATTATTCACTTTTCGCTTTCCTTCCAAACTTTTACTTTTCGTTCATGCTCAAAGTTGCTTGTCGATTTTGGATGTCCTCTTTTCGTTCATTCAATTTCTGCTTATTTTAAAGACCTAGAGTATTTACTTGTATTATTACTTAATTTTTATGTAAAAAATGATGCTTATACATTTGGCTTAAATTTAATTTTTGGTTTTGGTTGCTCCGAAAAATGGAATTAAACGTGAATTGTCTTTAAATAGTTGCCCAGACTTGAGTATACATTGTTTTATGTTTTATGCAATCAATTTTGCAATGACCGAGATAAGTGTTTTTCCGAGAATTTTTCTTTTGAAATTTCGCCGAGACGGTATACATCAATATATTTATAATTTCGATGTGTATCTTGTATTTTCCATTCAATGCCAGTGGTTAAGTCACCATTTCTTTATCAGATTTTGATATCTAAAGACTTCGGTTGTCGCTTGAAAGCAAGTTTTCGTCGCCAAACTTTTCTTCGTAAGGTTTGCAATGTTTTCTTTCTAAATTTCCCTCTAGATTGTAATGTAGAACATGTTTTCTGAATAGTTTAGAGAAACATTTATTTGTATGCAAATTTGTATATGGTATGTTATGAACCTCATTTTTGATTCAGCCAAAATGAATGTGATTTTAGTATTCGAAATAGTTGCCAGGGGTGTTATATCCTACGAAAATCCTATTCGTTTTTTCCGGTTATTGTAGTTGTAAGTGTAAAACTAAATCAACAATTGAACTATCAAAATAGGATTGGTTTAGATTAAAAAATTAACACTGAAGATTGTACAAAACGCGAACAAAATGTATACATCATGTGTGGTTATTGATGTCGGTAAGCCAGTTTTATTGTTTAGGTGCAATTACTTGTATTATTTTTGTACCAATTAATTCAATTTTTACCAGGAAAGTGAGATTTTTGTTCTTCTAGTTTGTTTCTTGTAATATAAAAAAGTTTTACATTCCTTTGTTTTGATTTTCACTGCGTTGGTTTTTATTTATATATGTATAACTTGGTTTATACATTTAATCGATTCAAAATGATACAAATTCAAATATTAAAATGCTTAACAACTTTTAGCTATTGTTACCTCTGCTCTCGGTTTCGCATTGCCTCTTTAAAAAATATATGTATATAGGTAGTTAGCTTGTCTTTGCTTTACGTTTGTTGTATACTTAAAATCGCCTCTGTCGCTATTTCGGTATTCATTTTTGATTCGGTTCAATCTGCTTTGTATCTTGGCATCCGCCTCATCTCATCATCACTTCTATGCTCATCTGCTGCTGGTTTTCTATTATTTCTCAATTGGGGTTTCCTGCTCCTGTCGGTTGTATAAAAGTCGGTCAATAAGAAAAATGTGTTTTTATTGTACTATGGTTGCTGCTGCGGTATCCGTTGCATTTGTTGTATATCTTGTAAATTAAAAGATTTGTTCGGTTTATTGTTATTTACTTGTATCAGGCTATTGGCTATTGGCTGGCCCAGGGCAGGTACTCGTCCTGATCCTGGTGTATAGTATCACTATTGCTTTGTTTGATTCTATTTTGGTTTTGATTCGGCTTAGGGTTTTGATTAAAAGGTTTGCTGTTAGTCCTCACTGAAATTCTCACTTTCTGATAAAAATAAATTAAAGTTTGTGGGGTTCTGGGTGTGTCACAAAAACGTAATCGGCTATGGTAGCAGTGGTCGGTATTTCTGCATGGATATGTTCTTTTCAGCTGATTAACTCATAGCGAACATTTTTGAAACTCGATCGTACCTTTCTTTTCATTCAGCTGAACGGATCGGGGATTTCTGCTCTTCGTTCTCTTGGTGCATTAGCTATTTGTTAGCAAAATTAGTGAAATAATTGATTTACTTACGTTGGTACTATTGCATTTGCAGTTGCAGTTTGTGATTGCTTATGTACAGTTTCAGTTGAGTTACAATTAATAATAAGTGCATCCTGCTCGCCTTCGGGGAGGACGCTGATATATGCATAAATAAAATTTGTTTCTATTGACACTGCTCAGTTATTATTTCTATGGTAGTTATTAAATTGTAGTCCCTGTCAATCGTTCATAATAATTACAAACGTATATATAAAAGTAATTCCAACATAACAAATTGTGTTCGGTTCTTTCTTCAATCTGATCTAATCTGATCCATCCATGGGGTTACTGAACTTATCGTAAATCATCGATCGTGATGATTCGGTATCTCTGCTTCGCTCGCAGGCAAGCGCACGTTTTAAAATTAGTTTTCATTTGCATACTTTACTTAACACTTAATGGAATATACTTTAATGTCTGTAAGTAAATGTTACTATATGTTCTCCTTTTAGTTTGTTTTTTCGGCGTTTTCGTCGACTTTTACTATTTTTTTGCTGTTTTTCTCAGTTGTAAGCTGTCTGGTTGGTTTATTTTAGTACCACTGCTTGTGTTTGCTGATATTCTGATTTTATATTTATTTAAGAGCTGTATTTACTTGTTGGTTTGTCGGTTGCTTGTAAAATTTCTGTAAAATATTTTCGGTACTATTTCTTACTATTTCGGCTTGTGGTTTGTTCCTGTTGCAAAAACAACTTCGTATATAATATAAATAAATTATTTGATTTCTGTCTGCAATAAATTACTTGTTCTATGGGCACATGGTGTCTATTGCAAAAAGTGAACGTACTCATAGGCATAGAATGAGTTTGGGGCTATTGCCCTACAATTTAAAAGTATGAATTTAAAAGTGGTCATTGCTTTTCGCAGAGTTTCCAATAGAATATCACTCGAATCGTTCGATTGGAAGTTTTAGCTTTAGGATTAGATTGCTAATTAGAGTAATTTTGCCACCACTTTTAGGACCCTGGGAAATACACTGGTTTCTATGCCTTGTTCGTTCAGATTTTTGCAATAATTTCAATATAGAGTTATTATCAATATCGCCATAGGCGTAATTAACAACTAACGAGGCTATTGTTGTTTTGTTTTGGATTTCATTTCGTCATTTCAATTCTCTTTTGAGGTTCTTTTAAGCCAAAAACAAGGTGTGGTTGAATTTCTGTGATCTTCTATTAGTTTTTAACTGGCGTTCAATACAATAAAAGTGTGTAATTCCTTCTATTTACGCAGCTAGCTGATGTCACAAACTTTTAAGGGTTACGTTAAATATAAGTAGATATATCGTATATATATATAGAGAGTATGCCTTAAATAGGTTAAAAAATATAATACACCATACATATAATTTAAGAGTTTAGAGTTTTCCATACGCTATACGCTATTTTCTTCGTTTTTTGAAATTGTTTTATTTTTGCTTTTCCATTTCCTTTTCCTTTTGCTTTTGCTTTTGAATTTGTTTTATTTTATTTTTTATTTTGAGTGACATCAATCCATTTTATTCTTAGGTAATCGCTTCCCTTTCGGATCCTTGGTAATTGAACAAAAAATATTTGTAATCCGTAGGCTGTGTTTACAATCTTTACAATCTCAAATCAATTAAACATATGTATGTTGAATGGGCTTTTGCATGTTTTAAATATTATCATTTCAAATTGTTCTCATTCAGAATCATCGTTTTTATATTAATTCCTACCGTTGCTATTTCAATGTGTATTTATCTATTTTTTTATAATCTCGTTTGTTAGCTGATTCTCTTGAATTATACTTTGTTTGTTGGTTGCTTTTATGCTTGGTGGTTGACTTAAAAACTATTATCACTATTGCAGAAAGCGGCTGTACTCAATTATAATGCATTCGCTTCTGGAAATTTTGGGATGAAGGGCCGTGTTTTCCTTGGATTGCACTGCCCTTTATCCCTAAGATTTTCTGTTTCGAGTTTGCTTCATTGATGTTTGTATGTTGGTTGTGGGCATTTTCTATTAATATTGCTTTTCTCTGGTATTGAGCTATGTATGTGTTTTCTGAGTCGGAAATGTAAGCCGGAAAAGTAATCATTTCTGAATTATTCTCAAATATTATCCTGACGTTTTTATGTATTATTCATCGGTATTATAATTTGCTTTAATTTTTAAGAAGAAAGGATTTTACTTGTGTCTTTCACTTTAGATGTTCGTTTTGGATTTTCAGGGTGTCGTGATTTCGTATCAAAACGCAGATTCTGGATAATTTCATTTTTGTCATATCTGATTTTTCTTTGTCGATTTTGATGTGCCATGTTCAATATTTTTTCATGCCTCTGTTACCTTGTGTGATTGTGTTTCTTGGGTTTGCAATATGGTTACATGTTACTTATGTTTACTTATTATGGCTCTTTGATACTGCAATTAAAATTTCTGCTATAAAAATTACTTGTATTTGTACTCTTGGTTATTTAAATTGGGCTATTGTTTTTGTTAGGTATGCTTGTAACATTGATTGGTTTTCCTATTTCTTTCTCAGTTATTTTCTGCAGCATTTATCTCTTCGACGGTTTATCCGGGATTTACATTAATATGGTTCTGTTTCGGTCTGGTCTATTCGGTTTGTCACGTTGTAGCCCCCTTGTCATTCTAGGCTTGAGTAATCTCAAATACTTCCCCATCCTAACTTTTGCATTTTCATATACCATAGATTGCACCTTCTATGTTTGTCACGGCCGGTGTGATCTTCGGTCTTCACTTACTGATGCTTCTTAGAAGAATTCTAAGAGCAAGATTCCACTGAAGCCACTGGTGTACTCCATTGTGCAGCTTTCTTTAAACTCATGTTTGCTATTCAGTTTGGTTAGCAACTATTAAATGAAATAAACAATACAAGAACAAACTAATAATGTAAACGAAATCCAAATCATATTAAATAATAAGTAAGTGGAAAAATATCGCAATTTACAGAACATGGTAGGATAATTTGTAGTTCCCGGGATGTTCTGCAAAAAGATTTTGGAGCATTTAAAATTTTGTTCTTAGTCTCTGTCTTTATGCTAGATTTTGTTGCGCCTAAATTTATGATTTTCTTTTTGATTAAGAGTATGCTTTAAATTTTGTGTTAATGCCTAAAATGTACAAAAGTTTTACGTTTAGGTTTGTTTTTAATTTGCATTTATCACAGCGACATTCAGTCTAAATTTTGCTTTTATTGGAATTATAGCATAATTTGCCATAATTTTCTTTGATATAAACGTTCTCATAAACATTTTCATTTGTTTTTTTTTTAACTAAAACTAAACATAATTTTGATTTAAAGCCAAAAGGTTCTTGTGTGTTTTCGTCGTATTTTATTATCGATTTTACATTTTCGATTTTTTTAAAGCCGAAAGGATTAATAAAATTTTGTCTAAAAGGCCTAAAGGTTTGCTACAGCTTAGAGTTAAACTTTGTGTTTTTATAGCAAATCATGCTGATCATTCTGATCAAGTCCCTTTCGTCTAATTCCAATAAAAGCCACCATATTGGGTATATCAATTACCATATCAATTTTTGGATGTTGGTTGCCTGTGCCGGAGCATGCAATATTTTTGTATTATTCGTATTGATCCGCTCTCAATTTTGATTTAGATGTGCAATTTAAATGTGCCTAAAAAGTGATTTTAAAATTTTGACTAAATTTACCGTAACCGTAGGCGTAATTTTATATTTTACAATGTCAAACAATTTGTTCAAACTTTTAATAAAACTTTTGCTGGTAGAGTTACATTTAATATTTGCCAAAACATTCTATGTACAATTTTGAATAAACCATTGTTGCCGAAACTTTTGCAGCGACACTCGTATCACAAAAACCAGACGTCTGCCCAAGCCGAAAAGTCGTAGTTTTGTATAATGCCAGAATTTTCTGAGCTGCCCCGTTTAGAGAGGGAATTATAAGAAACATACTTTGATAAGGATAAAATGAATGGATAGTTGCAACATAAAAAAATAATGCAACATAAAATCTGATAAATCATATAATTGTTTTATTGAAATAATTAAATAAAATATCCAAACATAATTGATAAACTTTAAATTTAAAACAGTGAAAACAAATCGTATTCGGAGCACTTGATTTGATTGCAATAGAAACTTAATTGACTAATTATTAAATTTATGAAATAATGAGTAGATACTTGATAAGGTGAAACGACTAACTGAATATAATTTCTTATCTTCCACGGTTTTTCTACATATACATAAAATATGTATACTTTTACACAAAATATGTATACTTTTTAGGAAACATATTCTAAAATATCAATAACAGTTATAAATGCTTTGACGGTACATTGGAAAATTTGTTAAGAAACTAAATTTGTCGATTATATCCACACAGTTGGCAGGGAAAGAACTTAGATGGTGGGGATCGGGTGGTCTTCAATTCGGTAGATTATACTGAGTAGGGTTGGAGGATTGGTACGTGGTTTAACCATAATCTTTTGACTATTGTTTATGTTTGTGTATGGCACCTGAAGAGTCACATTCGAATTTGCCTGCTTAATAATCAAGATGTTCCAGCTGATTTCTTTTGTCTGCCTTGTGTGTGCTAAGGTGTGGACATATTTGGGTTAAACGTATGCCTAATTACTAAATAAAAACTCAACATAAATTACACATAATTAGTTGGGGAAGACAACAAATGAATCCTAGGTTTTATAACTTATTCTTGATTTATCGTATCATTAAATTGCATTCCAGTATTCATTTATACACTTTAAAAATCACATATCAATTGAAATGAAAAATAAATTTCTAATAAGAGTTTGGTGGCCTCGGTGAATTCCCTCGGCTAAGCCAAGCTGTTCACCCAGCGTAATTCGATCAACTATGCTTATTAAACAAAAACTCCAATACATCAAAATATCTAAAGTATAGAACTAAAATTTAGATGCTGCTTCGAAAATCAAATTACTCAGCGCCAACGTCTGCGTTTCCCCATCCTCCTATTTTCCCATCAACCCTTTAGTCCTCCTACCTTCGCCCCAAATAGCTGCCCATCTATCACGTCACATGTCTATACTCATTGTATCGGAGCTATCCTAGTATTACGCCTAAGTCGTATATCCTCGATCGATTGTATCCAAAATTAAGGGTTACGAAATTCGCCTGTTCTTAAGTGTCCGTGTGTTTGTGTGTATATAAATATTTTATGTATTTGTAGGTCTTAAAAGTTGTTGGGGTGCTAAAACAAATAGAAATCGTATAACGTTGTGTTTTGGCTCTCGTTTCTCCTTCATTCTGCTCGTTACTTCTCTTACACTTTGACCATTTGCATTTCATGTTCATGGTTTATATCAAAGGAGTTTAGAGTCCTTTTCAAAAAGACTAGTACTCGTCCTGTTTGCGTTCTGTTCAGCTCCTCTCGGTTCGTTCGTTTGCCATTACCAAACTGTGTTTTGTGGTTTAAGATTAGTTTTAAAAACTAGGAGAATTTGTTTTGCGTCTAATACTAAAGAACTAATCGAACCTATGCAATATGGTGAATAGTTTGTGTTCCTCAACTTTAAATTCCTGCCTCCTGCCTCCTGCTCCTGTCTCTCTTACTGATGACATCATAGAGATCCGAATATAGAGTGTATGTGTGGATGAATGGGAATCGCGTGTGATAGAGTTGGCGGCGGAGGCGCTGCTCCGCTAGCCACGCCCGAGTGGCCAGGATGTCCCGGGTGACCCGGATGGACCGTATGGGGGGCCGGTGGCGGCGGCAGCGTGATCGAGAGCGTCACAGTCTGTGGCGCCGCGACTGGTGAGGCGTGGGCGGATGAGGGCGTGACCGCGGTGACGGCGGCGGTCGCTGCTGCAATGTGATGCGCGGATGACGTGGGCGGCGGTGGCGGCGGATGGTGTTGCTGCTGCGGTGCCGACGGCTGCTGTTGCTGCTGTTGTTGTGCCCCAGTTGCCGCAGTGGTGGGATGTCACTGGGCTACCACAGAGGCAGAACCATTCTGCTGAACCACCACGCCAGACGGCACCGAATTGGCCACCGTCACGGTTACAGGCGGAGTGGGTCCTCCATTTGCGTGGGCCACGCTGGGCTGCTGAGCTTGCTGCTGTTGTGCCTGGAAGGGATGCTGAAAGGGTGGTCCGTAGCACTGCGGAAAATAGAGCTCGTTCTTTACCACCGACTGCTGCACAACCGCGGCTGCCGCAGCGTTGGATGCTATACTGCGCACCGGAAGTATGTTGGCCTTGTTGTCTACTGTCGAGGGGTTATTGTTGTTGAGGAACTGCTGGGCCGCCAGACTCTTGGCGTCGTTCATTAGGTGATTGGCCACCTGGGCGACGGCGTTGTTCTGCTGCTGCTGCTGTTGCTGTTGTTGCTGCTGCTGCTGCTGCTGCTGTTGCTGCTGTTGGTGCTGCTGCTGTTGCTGTTGCTGTCGGCGCACCTTTGTGGTGTTTGGGTTCATGTGGTTGTCGATGTGCTTGGTAACCTCGTTCTCCGTGGCAAAGCGCCGACGGCAGTTGGGCATCGGACAGCAGAATGGACGATCACCCTGCGTGGTGAAAATAAGTTGATGGATTAGAGCTCTGACTAGAATAGGTCATCCAGGAACGATTTCTCAATTTCATAAGATCAATCTAAAAGCACTTCGAAATTTTACTACGATCTCAAAAGTGGACAGCTTTTTTAATTTACAAAATAATATATAAAACAATCATTTCTTTTTTTTTTAATTATTAATTATGTTTTCTGTATCTTTCCTTGTAATTCAAAAGAAGCTAAGGAAGGAAGTCCAATTTGTGCTGCCAAAGTTATTTATAATACAACTGTGCAGGATTCAAACTTAAGGAGGTTTGATAATTCTGTGATTCAAAAAATCTATTGGGTATAATAAGATATACTTGTCATACTTGTCATTAAGCATCGAGGTAATCTAGGCTTGCAATTTTGACATTTTGAACTTTGCATTCTCCACTAAATTGATTTTGAGAAATCGATCCTAAGCAGGCTGAGGCCAGGCTACAACTACCTGGTGGGTGCGCGTGTGCTGATCCAGGATGGCCTTCTGACGGAAGTCCTTGCCGCACTGACCGCACTTGTATGGCTTCTCGCCGGTATGGATGCGCAAGTGCTGATTGAGGATAGTCCGCTGGCGGAAGAAGCGTGGACAGTACATGCAGCCGAAGGGCTTCTCGTTGGTGTGGATGCGCAGGTGCTGCGTGAGATGCGACTGCTGCCGGAAACGCTTCCCGCACTCCGGGCAGGGGTAAGGCCGGGACTCGATGTGGATGCAGCCGTGCTGCAACAGCGTCGTCTTCTGCTTAAACTCCTTGTCGCAGATGGGACACCGTACGTAGAGCGGCATGTTGGCCGGTCTCACACCGATATGCTGCAGCACCTCGGGCAGTATCTTTTGGCCTGTGAGAGGATCTGATTAGAAGGTAGCCGCCTCCAAACGCGCCTGACAGGAGTACTCACCCTTGCCATCCTTGAAATAAGAGGGGTAGTGCATGCCTCCGCTGCCATCCGGCGTGCCCTGGGAGTCCTCGTCGTGGTAGCCGCCGCCCGTGCCTGCGATATCCCCCTTTGTGTCGTTGTCCTCGCCAGGGAAGGGCACATCCGAGGGCCACAGGGTCGGGTGCGGCCCGTTCTTGAAAATAAGATGTGGCGAGACGTCTGTGTGGGGGACGTGTTGATCCGCGGTGTCACATGGAAGTAATCAAGCGAAAGAAGGCTACTGTTAGCAGCGCTTAAACTTGGCGCGCAGCCGAGATACAAATTTTCGAAAGAACTGCCTAGCTCTCATCTTGTTAACGGACGAATTTTTCTGGCTGCCGACTGGCTGAGACGATTGAAAAGTTGGAACCTTGCTCTCCTGAATTTAATTCTTTTGAAAGTTGTCTCGAAAGCCTAACGGTTCGCTTTCCGTCTCTGCGCTCAGCGAGTCCACGAGCCAAATTGGTAATTGGTAATTCAATAGGGACAATTTCGAATTTCGGCCAAAAGTTCGCTCCATTGCAGAGAGAACAGAATTTTGCAGGGAAATCGGGTGCCAAAAGGGGTGAGATAAGCCAAGCTTGTGGATCAGCTGGCTAACTGGTGTCTGATCTAGCACTAATCCTATCTGATAAACTATTCGAATCTGTATCTGCATCTGCATCGGTATGTAAGTTATCTGTATCTGTCGCTCGCCTTGGTGGGTGCGCACATGCTGATTGAGGATGGCTTTCTGGCGAAAGTGCTTGCCGCACTCGGGGCAGGCGAAGGGCTTCTCACCCGAATGGATGCGTATGTGCTGGTTGAGAATGGCGCGCTGCCGGAAGCTGCGCGAGCAGTATGGGCAGGTGAAGGGCTTTTCGTTGGCGTGGATGCGCAAATGCTGGGTAAGGTGTGACTGCTGGCGAAAGCGCTTGCCGCACTCGGAGCACGGGAAGGGCCGTGCGTCCGTGTGGATGCGGTCGTGCTGCAGCAACGTGCTCTTCTGCTTGAAGTCCTTGCCGCAGGTGAGGCACTTAAACAGCCGTAGGTCGCTGTGAGGCTTGTTCTTGTGCGGGCGTCCTGGTCCGTTGCCCGTCCTGCCGCCGCTCGTCACGCCCACCGATCCCACTCCCACGCTCGCTCCCGTCGCACCGCCTACTCCTGCGCTCCCGTTGGCTCCCGCACCGCCTTCATTGGCATTGGTGTTCGCCGGTCCGGCGTTCTGCTGGCCGTTCTGCTGCGCCGGAAGCAGTTCGGGAAGCGCGTAGGCCTCTCCGCCTCCGGCCCCGCCCCCGCCGCCAGACTGTTCCATTGGCAAAACGCCCTTGTTAAGATAATGAAGCGGCGGGAAGCCAGGCGGCGCCAGCATCCCGCCTTGCGGTGCCGCGTGGCGGGGGGCATAATAGTCCGGGGTCTGAAAACTGTTGGCGGGGTCGCCTTGCGATCCGCCATTCTGCTGGACGTGCGGGTTGCCCGACTCGCCCGCGTTGGATCCCGAGTGCTGGGGGTCATTGCTGCTTTGGTTTTGATTGGGAGCGGGGTTCTGCTGGTTGGCGAGCTATAAGAAAGTGGAAGCATTTAGTCAGTCCGTTGCTCAAAACTGCAAAAGGCAAGGCTCACCTGGTGGTTCATGGGGTCCTCGTCGCCTGCCCCGTTTGCTCGCTGCTGCTGCTGGACCGAAGGATACGGACTCGAGGAGGGCGACACCTGTTGCTGACGGCCATCGCCGCTGCCGTTGTCGCGGGCCTCCTGTCCGCCTCCCGGCGGACTTTGGGGCTGTCCCGCTGCCGCTGCCACAGCTGCCGCCTGGGCCGCTGCCTGCGCCGCGTTCTGCTGCTGTTGTTGCTGGGCGGTTAGGTGCTGCTGGGCCTGCTGCTGGATGTTGGGGTACATCTCGCTGCCCCACTGCGCGGGACTGGCGCCTATGGCACCGGGGTTCCGTTCAGCGTCCTGCGAGTCCTTATAGAGCACGTATGGCTGGCCCGTGTCCTGGGTGATGCAGTACATTATCTGGCGCGGCACCTTCAGTCCGGCTGCTATGCAAGCCGCAAAGGAAGCCGAAAAGTTGATGGCCATTGCTGCTGATTCCCTGTTCAATTGGTAAGTGTTCAGGTAAGGGCTTCTGCTTTCTCGGGTTGTTTGTTTATTTTGCCTGTGACTTTTATGACGTTTTACACTATTTCAAAGTCTCCTTTTATTGACTTCTGATGCACATTATAAAGGGGTTTCTTGGCTTTCTATGCTGGGCTTATCGCCACTGTGGTCTCTGCTGGTTATTTGTTCCTTTTCATGTTGATTAAATTTTAAATTCCTTTCTTCTTAAGTGTTTCATTTATTTATTTTAGTTTATAAACTTCTTTGTGTAGTTGCTTCCTTCGTCCACCGAAAGCCGTTGCGTTTGCTTTTTCTTCAAAAATAAAATGTTACCCTCTTCTTTGTTGGCTTAAAATTGGTTTCAAAGATGATTTAATTGATGCGATTTTCCTTTGGTTCAACTGAAAGACAAGAGGTAATTATCAAGGATGTATCGAGGTGATTGGTTCAACAGGTCAGCAATCCCCATTAAAAGCCAATAGAAAAATCAACTATGTTGCCGTGTTGTGGGTTGGCATGCAAAGCACAGCCATCCCACTCCCAACTTGACTTCAAACCCACAAAAAGTGAAAAGACCGACGACATTAGCAAAAATGCCAGGAAAATTAAAAACAATGAAGATCATCAACGGCTGATTGGGAGGAGTGGCGCATAAATGGACACCGCATGCGAGCCAGGCGAGTTCCTCCCGCCGCAAAATTCCCCCAGTACTGCCTGGCGACCCACAAAGCGACTGTCCACATGTTTCCTCCTTTGTTGTCATGCCTTGCCGGTCTGTCTTGACTCACTTGTCTCCCTGGCTCTCCTGCCTTTCGTTTTTGGTTTTGGTTTTGGTTTCGGTTCGGTTTTATCTTTGTGCCGCGTTATTTTTGTTGTTTAACGACGATGACGGCGACGTGCCAACTTTTTAATGCGGGATCAAGGTCTTGTACAGCGTACGCCTCGCGCAACGCAGGCAAATCGCAGACGCGGGTAGGGCGCAGACATACATGGGTATAAATGGCCCGCATAGTGCCTCTTGACTGATCCACCATGCCCCATTTCTGAGGCTTTTATACGAATGTTTGAATTATCTATGGCCAAATAAACATGTTTCTTTAATATGAGGATGCTAAAGGAAATCCCGGAACAACTACGAACTAACATGGGTAAAACCAAAACGCTCCAGGTCACAAAACTTATATTGTATGCATTGTTTAAAAGGATATCATGGCTCATATAGCAAGTCGATCGTTTTAAGCAAATCTGCATACATGTTTTTTCTAAATCGGAACCACTATAATATATAGCAGCTATATACGATTAATCGAAAAACAATAAATGGAGCTATATACAGTAGGCGTTAGTGCGCCGACGTGCATGCGTGGAAAACTTCCGAACTTTTATAGTTGCGAGATCTCGACGTTCATACGGACGGGTAACTGAAGGTTATTTAAAAACGTTGTTTTTAATATGTCATATTTTTGTACAGCAAGTAAAAGCTATTTGTTTATATAAAATTCAGCAACAAAGCGTTTTGTATTAAATAATGTATAAAAAGTTCAATACTTTCCGTTTACTATGCAGTTATTTATTTTGAAAATTTTATTTTTGTATATTTTTTATTTCGAACAGTGTTCAAGAAAGTAATGAATAGATCGAAAAAGGTGCGTACCTATTTACCCCCACTCCAGAAGGCGCATACCCAACCATGAATCGGAAATCGACCATCGGGAATCGGCTATCGAGTGGAGTCGACGCAAAAAGATCCAAGCTACCTTGAACCCGCGATGAACGTACGCTGCGAGTATCTCAGCTGCACTCAGGGACCAAGAGGCAGTCGGACCGGGCTCTCCAGCGATTGCACTTCGCGTCAAATGCATGCGAAGTGTATGTACATGTACATAGGTATGTACATAGTCGCCACTGCCGCCGTGCCGCTGCTGTTTGTGAGTTGTTGCGCTTCATTGGCAGAGCAAGAACATCTGCAATTTATGCGTTCGTTGTCGTCCCAGGTCGTCTTCCATTTCGATTCTTCGTCACACTATCTGTAAGCTCGTAATGTCTGTTTTGTTGGCGGAATTGCCTTTCACCCCCTCCCCTGGCTAGCAGGCGGTTCTCTATTGATAAAATTTGTTTTGAAAATAGTAGTCTTTTTCTGGACTGTTATTTTTCAAGGCTTTATATATAAATCACGTGGATTAAGTTCAAAGAAGGAAAATTGGAAGACAGATGTATGTTGTACATCGTAATACTAAAGTCTATAGTAATCAGTATATCTTGGGAGTACGAGGAAAATTCCAAAAAATATAAATGATTGTTTATAATCTTTATAAAATGTAAAAAAAAATAGTTGTTTTAATATATACTATATTTGCGAAAGAAAGAGTTGTTCTTATAACTGTATTAAAAAGAGTTTTAAAAATTGTAGGAAACCACGAAGGTTCTCTTCATCCTGCATGGTGTTCAGGGTTTTTGTGCAACTTAAACTTAACTATTGTATATCTAAACAAGTGTTATTATACAATTTGAGCCGCTCATTCTGATGAGACTGCTTCTCTATTCAATATCTTTATCCTAATGAATAATGACACTGCGTCAAGCCAAAATGATAAACTTTTCAGAACAAATACGAAATGCTTCTCTGTGCCTAATCCAGGTCCTTACACAATAGTAGTTATTCGTTTTACATGTATTTTCACTTTGTAACGCAAATAAATCTAGTGAGACTTGTGCACCTTTTGCGAGAGGAAAGTTCGAGGCATTGAAGATCGACTGTAAGTACTTGTGTACTCCATTTTTCGACCACTTATCGCCAGCGAAATTTTTGGATCAGGCTTCGCGTGAAGTGAAAGTTGTCAACGAGCCCGACTCCAACTGCTGCTGGAGAATGATATTTCAGTTTCTATTTATATTTAAATGGCGTCCAACAAAGAGACAGCCAATGGCGCCGCAGCTGATTGCCAATGGAGAAGCTTGCAGTTTTGCGCTCGTGTCTCCGTCATGTGCAATGCACTATTGTGCAGTGTGAATTAATGGAGTCGAGTTACGTGCATCGTTTGTTGCAGCGTGTGTCTTGGGCTTGGGCTGTCAGGTGTGAAGAAGGTGGAGTTTGCCCGCAATTGCCCGCCCAGCTTTGCTCCCATTACTCGGAGAGAATGCATCTCGTTTGGCTCGGCTACACACTTACTATACGCATATCTACTATTTTACTTCAAATGGATTGGCCCTCAAGGTGCCATAGCTTTGGTCTAAAGGAAGTAGTCTAGATTTTTAACAGTTAAAACTAGTGTAGAACATATTCGAGTTTCTCGTTAGACAGATAGCTCAGATAGTGGCAGTGCGGGAATATAAATTTAAAAGTTTTATAAACAGTATAATAAGAAATCAAATCAAACCAAATATAGTGGGCTTGGCTAAAATGATTTTGGAATATCTATTGAAATTCGGAAACAATTCCGTCTACCTGTTACATACTTTACAACGAATCTAGTACAGGCGTATTATGAGTAACAGGTATATAAAGAAATGCATTCTATTAATAAAACGAATTAGACTAAGCAAAAGCCTCAATCGATCTGCCTCTTAAAACTTTAAGTAAATGTACTTTCAGAAAATGTTAAGTATGTTTAATTGACTTTAAATGTACAATTGGTGCAGGAGCGCTAAATACAGCTGACAATGCCAAAATTAAATGTAAGATAATTGAATTGTGAAAATGCCTTGTAATGAATTGAATAGTAAAAATTGTAATTAATGCCTTTAATTAAATAGTTACAGTAAGGAAACAATTGTATTTTTATACAAGATTTAACCTAACAACAATGTTACACTTTAAAGTAAGAGGGAATCTGCAAATTTGTCTTTATCATTAATACGACCTTGAAATAGCTGTGAAGTAAAAAGCTGTACATTTCAAAGAATATTATTTAGAAGGGGCTTTGCTTTGAAATAAAATCTAATTTTTTGTTTTTTTTTAGTTTAGAAGTCATGTTTTTTATGAAATGTAAGTATTTAATTTAAAAGTCCAGTGATTCCCCAAAAAAGTATATTCATAAACAATAGGAAACCTTTGTTCCAAATCACTTCAAGGTTAAGGCAATGAACAGAATTAAGCAAAGTACACAAACTGCCAAAAGTTTTACGCTTGTTGCTGCACCAACAGCCACAAAAAATGAGCGGCAAAGCATTGTAGCGTAATTTGTGCAGCTATCTAATTCAATGTACAAAAGCTCTACCAGAGATACCCTCACACACACAGATATGACGAAGAGAGATCCACTTCGGCGAGGGGGTGGTGAGAGAAATGCGGGGGGAGAGACAGCAAATTGAGAGCGGGAGCACGTAACTACAGCGACAGGTATAGAGATGTGAGAGTAAATAAAGACAAAAAGAAAAATAAGGCAAAAAGTGACTCACGAAAACAGCAGAATGGGCATTTTTGTCTATTTTTTTGTTTTGCAGAGCGTTGTGCAAAAACTTTGCTGCTTTAGGTTATCTGCGTAGCGTTTTTTTTTGCACACCAAAATAATTGAACATGCTAATCAGATAAGCGCTCCAATGTTATGTGGGTTCTCCAATGCGGATTAATATCCCGTGTTAACTTCCAGCCCTTAAAAGGGCAAGTGGAGGGAGGTCCGCAATACCTCTATTCTGGCAAATATTCATGCATTTAATTGGCGCCCAACAGAGGGGCTCAGTTGTGTGACAACCAACATTCAACCGGCAACGAACTCATCGCAAAAGTGAGTTCCACAGCACGCCACCCATGCATTAGGAGTTGGAGATGTACACATCTGTTAGATACACAAGCCGAAAAACGAAAAGACTACAAAAAACTACAACAAAGGCACACACACGAACATACATACATACAATTAAGTGATTTTGCTTGTTTTATTGCTAAACATTTTGTGGATTTTAGTTTTTGTGCGAAAACCGTTTTTGCTTATAATTCATCATATTCCTTTATGGCCTGACATTCGCACACACTCGCGAATACGCACACACACACAAATACCCTACTCTTTTGGCCCCCGCCCCCACTACACCCCACCACCACGACTCACACACTAGCGCAACCCAGACACCAAAAATATAAATGAATTCAGCCCCAGGGAGAATTTCGCAAAAAATCGGAGAGCAAAAAAGCAAATAAAAATTGCAAATGATTTGTGGCATTTTTGTTGTTGCTCTTGCCTTTAGTTTTGCGCTTCTGCTTTGGGCTTCTCTGCTCATTAGTGCCGTTTTGTGCTTGGTGTGTGCCCCTTTCGCGCCCCTTTATTCCATCCCCGCCGAATTTCCTTTGCATTTGTCAACTTGATTTACGCGCAAACATTTTTAGTTGTGTATCTTTAAACTTTTAGTTGGTTTTCTTTCAATTTTCGCAACATATGCCTTTTTTGCATTCATTTCTAGGTGC